ATAGTACCACCCCAAATACTCATCTTGGGAAAATGGGTTTTCAAGAAGGAAGAATAGGAACCACAAACAAAGGCTGATATTCAAGACCTGAAACACGTGGTAGCATGATATATTGCTGGCAGCATTTCAGCTGTATCTCTGCTAAACCCAGGTACCACCAGAACAGCACTGCTGACCAGAGAAAGACGAAGGATGAAAAAAAAGAAGAAAACTGACACACATCACTTTTCCCTGCTGACTTTGGTGTACATTCTCTCTGCATTAAGGATTAAGTTCAATGTGATGAAGTGGCTTCACAAATACAACACTTATGCTTTGGTTTTCTAAGAATCAACTACATCACTTACTGACCAGCTACGCTTGGCGAAAGCAATCTTTCCAGGCTTTAACAGATTTTGTTTGGCAAACTAAATAAATGAGATGGAAGCAGAGTGTATCCATATGTTCTCTCTAAACCTGGCACTTTAAGTTTCAACAAAACATGCAATGAAAGCCAACATTCAACAAATGCATGCAAAACACATTAAAATAGAGAACACACCTGCCCTGGGCAGGCAAGTCCAAATAGCTTCCTAGCCAATACCACAAGATGTCTTCAGGGACACTGCTGACAACATCCTCCCTGACTTCACAGTAAAAACAATATCCGACTTGTGACAAGATGCAACTTGCATTCATCCCCTGGGTATACTGCAGCATGAGCAAGCCAACATGAACCACACAAAATGGCAGTATATTGTGGCCGTAATGAGGCACTTTATTTAATCAACATTTATTGCTCAAGTAGCACCTAAGAATTACTATAAACTCTGAACTGAAAAAAACCCCACCTCTTTACCCAATATAACACATGCAAAAGTGTGTGAATTTGTCAGTTGGTTGCATTTAAAACAGCTATAACTAAATGGGTTTAGAATGGCTCTCCACTGACACAGAAGCACTTCCAGCAAATATGACCCAGATCTTGTTATTCTTTTTCACCCTAGGCTTTTACCACTTTATCTAGCAATCAACGTATCATCCCCAGAAAAATTATTTTAAACCCACAGAGTTCGGCACTGTATACTGTAGTAGACTACTTCAACAACAGAAAAATTCACACTTAATTGTTACTAAAAAGATTGTTCTTGAACTAATTCATTCAAACTCTTTTGACAGCCACCGCATCAAGTGAACATACTGGAGTGCTTGACACAACCTAACAAAATCTTTTTGCTGATAAAGACATGACTGACAGTGTCAGCAAATACATGGTGCGGTAAAAGAATAATCACTCAATATGACTTTAATCATGCATGCATGTATTAGGGGAAGGGCAAGAAAAATAACTAAATGACTGTGGTGAGAGATAGATGCAACAGGATTTAAAAGGTCTAAAACCACTGCCAGCTCCATCCTACTCCCTAGAAAATTCTCTTTTTTTGTTGCTTGCAACTGATGTCGGTGACTAATCAAAATGTGTTGCTTAAACAGAAGTTACTTTATTACACCAGCATAGAGTGGCTTCATTAATTCCACTCAAGAAATGAGTGTAGAACTGTTCCACATACATCAGAACAAATTAATGTGTCCTAGAGGTTATTAGTGACATAAATCATTGTCTTCATGTACTGTGTCAAAACTCTGACAGTGAAACTTTCACCAAAGTTTAAATGTGGGGACTCTGTTACACCCCGGGCTTGAAAATCTCACTCATCTTGGATGTTCAGAAGTTGTTTCCCAATGCAGCTGGGCTCAAAGAACCACTAAGTCTTTTTCCAGCAGGAAACAAAAGCAAGTGGTAAAATCAATAGTAAAAAGTGGAAAAAAAACCAGATGATTCCAGTATTCCTTTTTCTCACACTCCTAAGGCTTTTTTTTTTTTTCATGTTAAGTATACTTTAAGACATACTGGCCATTTTAAATTATACTCAAACAGGAATTTGCAACTTCTGCAGTCAAGGTAGGTCTGTTTTTCTCTTTCACTGAAAAATTAATTGTTTGTTCCACTGATGCAAATAACAGTTTTGCCTATGCACGCTAGGGCTTTAGCTGGAATGAAAGCAGAATGGTATCTGGCCACTGAAAGCTGCAGTTGAGAAGAATATACAGACAAGATCTTTGTCCCTCTCTCCATACAATGCTAAGCTTTGTAGGGAGTCAATCCACTTCACCACATGCCCTCTCCTGTACAGAGCATATGGGATGACAACAAACCACCCATGGGCATACCACAGCATTTGTCTCTTCTCCAGCTAGGCGGCAACAAAAACTGAGGTAGGAGACCAACTGCCATTTCATCTTCAGGCTGGTCCAACACCCTGACTCACTCTTTCAGTAAGAAGGCCACACACAGGAGGACAAAACAACCACAGAACATTCACTTCATTGGATCCCAGGTGGCACAAAGGATGCATAGTTGGTTACTGCCAACTCGCTTTTATCTAAAACTGAGGTAAAGTTCCTCTGCACCACCAGAGATGAATTTGTCCCATCCACTTAACATCAGCATATTGTCAAGAGCAGGCAAGCTGCACAGATGCCTGTGCCTCAACCACTGCAATAGAACCTTTATAAGCTCAACATCAGCAGCAGCTTCAGCTAGTACAATGGGCTGTAAATTGGGAAAACGTGTAGGAGGACACAAGCGTGTCTGCCATTTTTGCTGTGCACAGGATGAGGGCAGACAGTTTCAGAGGAACGGGGGATAAACAACAGGAAGTGGCACAACTACACCCGGCAGAGCCCATCTGTCAGAGATCTAACTTGTACTTTGTGTGACACCCCCCACTAGACCAGCTGTGGACCCCACTTAGAGAGAGGAGTATTTCATCACACCCATTACAGCTCCACAGAGAAACCTGAAAGAAATCTTATTTCTGCTGCTAACAAATAGAGATGTTTTTAGTAAATCAATACAACCAGAGAAATACATTTCCCAGAATTTTCCAACTCACCCAACCATGCTGAATTTGTTGGGTGGTTTATTTTTTTATACCACTATTCTAACACACGCTTTTTACATGAGAACTTTTACTCAAAACAAGCCTTTAAAACACTTCACCATTTCGCTCACAGAAGTATAAAAGCACTGAACCTAAAATAGTTCCAGTGCTGCTAGCTATAGTCATCTACAGGATTATGGGAACCAGATTTATTTATTTTTTTTTAATGGAAACAATTTCATTTCATTTTATTGTTCTACTGAAATACATACTGTAGCTTAATCCATAGCAGGAATATGGAATCATTTAAGTCCCCAGAGGCAGAAACTCTGGAAGCTGTGGAAATTATGGAATTAAGACAGTCTGTAAGTCATGTTGTATGTATGGATGAAGACCACCTCACTAGTCTCATTCTTCCCATCATTCATCCCACTCCTTTCTCCAACATCCCTGATCCTCTTCTTTCTCACCTGCACCATCCTACCACCCCCTTGCCAGAAAGCCTTCCTGATCCTATCCATAGCAAAAGTGGTGACAGCCAAACTACAGGTGATAAGGAGCTCTATCAGGTGCTCTCACTGTGTCTGAGCATCTTCTGGGAGGCACAGGAGTGCACCACAGAAACGCTGCAAATAGCAGGCTGGACAAGTGATGTGTTGTGGACCTACATACACAATCCCTGAGAAACTAGTGCACAGCCTGGCAGCAAATGACACCATGCAAGGTACAGGTTTTGGGAAATATACTATGTAGGTGCCATATAGGAGGAACCAGAGATATGTCACAGGACTGTATTTGGCACCATGGACTTAATGAATACAAGAAGGTACTTTAATGACTGATGGAATGTTGGACAAGAGGCAGTGAGTGCAACATAACATAGAGGACAGTGAGGAATATGGTGTGGTGTGGGATGGAGGGTTGCAGAGCTAACATGTTAACACACAGTCCTACAAGGAATAGCTGACAATCCTATTTGCACCTCTAAGTATTTGCGGAGTAGATGGGGTTTGGGGAGAAGATGGGACATAGATGGAGCAGGTCTCTGCACTGTCAGTATCTGACATAACAACAATAAAGTCCCTCAGCATGACACTGCTCCCACCATATTCCCAGATACAAAACATTTAGGACACACCAAGTGCATTTACTGCTTAAGTGTTCAAAACTGGCTATGCTGTGTCACATCAGTGTCCTAGGTTGCTGGTCAGACTGGTCTTCTAGGACTCCGATGTTATTACCATCAGTCATTTTGTATAATATTGCTCAGAGTGAAGCAACATTTAACGTATTACCAAGAGATATGTCCTTTGGCAGGTTTCACCCCATCCCTCACTTGTCCTTGCTCCAGTTTTCCAAGAACCAGACATATGAAATTAAGCTTACCAAGAGGCAGCTCCCTATCACTGTGCTTTTCTAGCTCACCTAATTTCATTATTACTATACTTTAAAGTAATTCACAAGCAAATTTAAAAACAATTTTCACAACAGCACCAGATATAGCAGCACTCCTAGACAATTTAATGAGCCATTCCCCTTATAAAGTCTTGTAATTTCAATTGTAATGTTAATGCATTCACAGTAACATGCAGTTTACATCAGTACCACCACCAAATGAAACTTCAAGGTGTCAAAAATTCAAAGCTATCTGAACAAGGAAATGTTTCTACTTCACAGAGATTTAACCTCAGTAAAATACAGCCACCTGTATTATCTTTTGCCTACTGACACTTCAAAGCAATGCTTCTTCAGTTCATTATTCTCATGTATTTAACAATTCTCTTTGTCTACATAGCATCACCGATTTCTTATATGCAGCCAATTTTTCCTCATACTAAGTTTTTTTCTATGCCACTATCCATTCATCTTTTTTTTTTAAATAACAACGTTACTTTCAAAGCTTGTTTGAGCAAAATATCTTTTTATTTGTATGTTAACTTTTTTCATAAGGGTTGGCTTTCATATAAAACAAATTAATCAATAATTTTATAAAAAATCACCATTCCCATTCTTGTCTGTTAAGCACAAACTCAACAGCTGAAAGAATAGGAACTGGTAGAGAAAGGCAACCCTTACAAGAGGCAAAAACAGGCAGATACTTCCTAAAAACTGACAAGTCACCCATAGAGAAAATGTCTTTTAACCCAGTGGCAGATCCACCTTTTACGAACCATATTTCTCCCTCATCCCAAATTCTCACAATTTCAGTTATATCAAACTTCGCATCAGCCATGTCTACGGCTGTACAGTAACCAAGGGAGAGGATTCTCTGAATTGGACTTTAAATAGGGCTAAATACTTAACTTTTGTGAAAGTGATAAACTAACCATTTAACAGCCCTTCTTCTAAGGGAGTATTAAGTGGACAATCTCCCCTCGAGGCTCTAAGTTCTGTATTTGCCAAACAGATGCACAAAGGGATGAAAATCCCACGAACAGTGTGCATTCTTAATGTCTGACACAATTTAATCCTTGGGGAGCACATTACGTGTGTGTATGTGGGAGATTGCATGCAATCTTTTACAAAAAGGTCCTGATCCTGAACCTGTAAGATTACTTTAAGCACCAAAAATAACCTAGAGTTCTGCTGCTGTATTACAGCAGTGATCAAAATGTCACCTATTAACTTTTGCATCACTATGACAGCTTTGTGTTCCAGCTTCCCAGCAAATCCTGTTGTGCTTCCTCACTCTTCCTGGTTGCTCTTTTTATAAAATAAATAAATAAACCCCTCAAATACTTTCTGAACACTAATGTTGATGATTCAGAGCATACTGCAGTTTCCTGAATGTAGACCCTACTTTAGCTACCCCAAATACATAAGCACAAGGATATCCTATTTAGTTGGACACTAACAACATGAGATACCTATTAATAATAAAATCATACAGACAGAACTCTGCAATATGATGTCCCTAGCCTGGGTTATGAAGACATGTGAGAGCAGGGGAGGGAAGAGGGCAGTTATTCTTAACACAGTAGTTAATCACAAAGAATGAACTCAATCCAGAAGTCTCTGAAATAGGTGGAAAAAACAGGCTAGACGCAAAGGGTACTAATAATGCCCTAAAAACAGTGAGTGCAATCATTTTTGCCCGTTTTTTAAATCCAATAAACTCCCCTTCTCAATTTCTATTTCTAATGTCACCTAGACATTCATTTCTTATTTTCCTTCTACTTACTGGTCCTCTATTTACCTTTCAAATAGCATTAAGTTAAGAAAAAAAAAAATTAAAAAAAATCAAGCATCCTCTGGTGCTCAGAAGTTTTATACTGTCCACTACCAGCTATTAGAAAGTTCAGTAGTTTTTGCAAATCAGTACAAAGAGTAGAAATAAGGAGACGTTTTCATGGAAGGTTTCAGGTGAAACTGACTGCCTTATGTAGCTCCGTGACTAACGTTATACTTGAAGAGAAGAAGAATGGGGTAGAAAGAAAAACCAAGATATATTTCATGAGCACTGTAAAGTTCTCAAAGCTTTGTTGGTCCTTGAAGTACAGATTTGGAGAAGCCACTATTCTAATAAATACTTATCTTGTCTTCAACATACCTTTCCATTGCAAAACTGAAACTTGATATGCTCTCCTCTTCTCCTGATCTTTCAAAGGAGTTAAAATCACCTTAATCACAGAATGGACTTACTAGAACCGTTAATTCAAAACATGTAAAAGGTTTGAAAATTCCTTTAAAAAATTAAATTTTTTTCCTCCCCCCTCCCCTTTCCCATCTTTAAAAGTTGCATCTTTTTTGTAAAAGTGCCATCTGATGTGTAAAAAGACTGTATAAAACTGAAAGACATGTAAACTTAAAAGCAGCAGTTTGCCCACTAATAAAAAGATATTATATTTGATAAAAAATATCGTAAGTTTTATTCACATACAGTTATTTGGTTTAGACCAACTGAAAGCTGCCTGAGCAGCCTCTCTCCTGGATGCATACTTTATCTCAAGTATTAGAGAGCCTTATTTCCAAGCTACCTAAAGAGATCAAATACCCTCTTCAAGCTGGAGTTTATTTCTACAACTTGGACTTCTGCAAGTTGATCTGCCGGATGATTAGTACTGCGTAGCTATCTCCAGCTACTGATCAAGTTTTCAAACTTCCAAATCACGAGAAACTGCTCACTGTGCCCAAGGATGCATTTGAAAATGCAAATTCAAAAGTAGTACTTTGGTGTGCTACTTTGTAAGGGGAGACAGGACATGTAACAAGGTTGATCCTCTTCAGCCTCTTAGAGTACTCGTATTTGTTAACTACGAGGCAATGGACTTTCAAGACCATGATTTATGGAAGCCTGTTTGATCACTGTTCATCTTTGTTCTTCACTTACAGGCACTGTAGTGACCTTATTTACACCCAAGTTAATCATTAGGTCTTACTGAGGGTGGGGAACAGTGGGGGAAGGTAAAGGGCTTGAGGGGGGGGTTCTTTCCTAAATTAAAGGATTAGTGTTTTTTAGAAGTTATTAACACGGCAGCAAAGAAACAGCATCTCACACACATACTCTCTCTCTATGCAGACTTGGCTTCACATCCCTAAACCAAGACTGCTACTGAGAAGATGGCACCATCCCCATATGCTGTCTACTAAAACTTCCAGAAAATCCACCAACTCCAGCAGTGTCCTCTCCATAAGTAATGGAAATCCATAAGCAGAAAGCTGTGAAGTACCAACTTATTTCCAAACTATTACCACAGAGGCTCCCAGGCACTCCCATCTTCTGCTTACCATTAGCTGGAAAAGAATGAGGGCTCACCACCCAAGGACTAATGCAATTAATCAAAATATCTTTTGCTCTGACACTTCTATAAGCATCCTCACAGAAAAAAAAACCAAAATCCTCTGAAAACTGTTATAAAACAGGAGTCAGAAAACAGTGCTCCTACCCAAGTAAGACCAACATGACAGAATACCACTTGGGAAAGAAGGCCACATAACAGGAAAATACCAGGAATAAAGGGAAATACAGCCCAAACCACAACACAGCCACAAGAGGAAAGATGAGGAAAAATTACTGTTGAAAATTTTCATTTGAGAAATTCAGCCAGAGACCATTTAACTGACCTTTAAACAGTCACACTGCTTCAACTACAGTAAGCACACAAATTTTTTACATTATTTTCCCATCTTAGTGTTTATTTCAAATTAACAGAAGTAGCAGTATCTCAAAAGCAAGCAATCCACAGAGAAGCATTACAGGCATACAATAACAGTCCCTGAGTTACTCTCTCTAGACATCCCATCCCGCTCACATGAAATAAGACAGTATTTCTACTATCCCCAACATTTTTTTATTCTAATAGGTATAAAACCATCATCAACCTCTTGGTCTGCAGACACTGAACTTCAATTATTGTTTCCCCTTCTCATGCACACACACACTAATCCTGGTAAAAGATGCTGGAATGAAAGCCATGGAAACTAAAAACAGGCATTTACTTGTAGACCAGAGCTGACAGCAGCAGCTCACACCCTCTTCCTAGAGGAAAAAGTGGCCAGGCCTGGGGAGCTTTGGAACAGAGGGGCAGGCCAGACCCCCACCCAGTCACACTCTCCATCTCCATACCAAAACAAACCTCCAGCAAGGGAGACAACTGCAGAGCAAAATTCACGGGCAAAGTGACAACCCAGCTTAAAAAAAAAGCACCAACCCATTCCACTTGGAGACAAAAATAAAAACTTCAGCCGATTTTATCCAGAGCTGGATTTCCATCAGTCCATACATCCCATCACCAAGCCTCTGCCCATCTGGTTCACTACTGCTAACAACTTCTTCACAACAGCGTGGGTACATACTCTCCCAAAGGAATAAAACGTAAGCAAGTATGAGCACACAATTCAATCACGTGCAATATTAATATTAATCACAGTAATTACACACTGACTACAGGAAATACAAAAGCACTGTCCCCTTTGAAGCGTACTTCCTAAGGTAGCTGCCTCCACGGCTTGTCAACTTTAATAGGTTAGGCCCCTTCTGCAGGGAAACCAGGCCAACACCTTTCCAGCAAGAGCAAAAGCCCATTGCTGACCCTAAAAAAAAAAAAACTATACTTCCACAGGTCAAGCTGAAAGTCATTTAATTTTCTAAAAGCAGTAACAGTACACACTACGTGTTTATATCTCTAGTGCATGAAGCCTGTGTGCCTGATAACTTGATGTGGTTAATACAGCACAACCACCCCCCCCGCCCTAGGGCCTTCATCTCAAACATGCAATTAAGAGCTTGCCATTTAAAAGTTTCAGGGGTTTTGTGGTTGAAGGAGTAGTTCATTAGTCACAAGAGCTCCTTTTCTTGAACTCTGGTAATTAACACTCTGATGCCTGTTCCCACAGTGGAAACAGGAGGTAACATTGCAAAACTGCCTACCTCTTGGCTCCCAAGAAGAAATGGGGTGATCCCTTTAATTTGGTTTGGCTGCCTTCTCACACCACCATGTGGAACTGTTTTGGCTGATTGCAGCAAAGTCCATTACTCACATCTGCCTCTCCTTGGTGTATGCACCCTTGCAAACACTGTGATTACTGTTACACCCATGAGCTAGTCAGGGAGCAGTTTGCTGTAAGGCAACAGCTGATGTAGCTGCCAGATAGCCAGCTTTTTAGATGACAACCTCCTACACTGTTATGAAACATTTATGACTAGCACCTTACAATCTCACAGTCACCAGGGAGGTGTAAGTACAGGCACATGAGAATCACCAGCAATCAGCACCTGCTAATCACATTAATATGTCATAGCAAGCTGAATGACATTAACAGAAAATTGCTGACAATGCATACCTCTTTCCATCATGGACAGATCCCCAGGAGTCACTACTGGATTCTCCTAGGAGACACTGTCATTACTTGGATGCATACATTATTTCATGTTAAAAATTCCCACAACATTTACATCAGGAATTCTAGTTCTTAAAAGTTATTGTTTGCAATATTTCATATAGCACATCGGAGCCCCTTCCATGAGCCAGGACACATAAGGAGTCTCAAGATCAGAGAACAAAAATCCCAACCCCTGTCCAAAGGGAGCTTGAAACAGAGAGAACATAAGATGAGGAATGACACCCCACCCCACTGGACAGCTGAAAATTTCCCTGCGCTAGCCATCACCCTTCACCTGTCAAAGGCTGGGAAGGTTGATACCATCACAGCTGACAGTTTTGATGAGAGCTTTGCAGCAATATGAAAAGGATCAGGAAGCTTAAACGTGTTCAGGTACAGTAGCCATTGGAT